GATATCACTATTTTTTCAGCCCACATTGTTTTCTTTGCTTGGCAATACTCTTTGCTGGGTAAGTCCTGCTCATCTTTCCAGATACTTCTGGAATGTTGGGGAACTTCTCTTTGATTTTTTCAGATTGAATAGGGGGCCGCTTTTCCCAAGGTCCTGTGCAAATCCTGATCATAGCGTTTATAATATTGGACTTCACTTGTTTGCTTTTCTCATCCTATACTAGAAAATCCCTTCTTGAGAGACAACGTTCAGTCTTTCCTCCTTATATCCTGTCCTTCCTGTGTGTTTCATTTATCTGAATTTCTCACTCTTTATGACAGAGCTGAATCTTCTGTTTTTTTTAATAGTAGCTCTTTATAAATGGGAGTTTTGGCCTGAGGTCCAACACATTCATTTATGAATTTGACAGTTATTTTCTGAATTGTTCATTCTGTGTCAAAGACTCTGGAATTTGTTCACCACTATTTGGAGGCTATACGATTCAAGCATCAATCAGAATTAGTAGCTAAGGCATGCCAGTTTTAATACCTAGGTGTTGGGTTGATAGGAGCAGCAAACCACCATGGCACACGTTTACCTGTGTAACAAACCTGCAAGTCCTGCACATGTATCCCAGCCAGAATTAAAATAAAAATAATTCAAGTATTGGATAAGGAGTTATGCTAATTGCATGAAGTAGAAAGTCGGAAGGTATAAAAAGTTAAAACAAGACTTTTTTTTTTTTTCCGAGATAGAGTTTTGCTCTTGTTGCCCAGGCTGGAGTGCAGTGGTGCAGTGCAATCTCTCTGCAACCTCTGCCTCCCGGTTTCAAGAGATTCTCTTGCCTCAGCCTCCCAAATAGCTGGGATTACAGGCATATGCCACCATAAATGGTTAATTTTGTGTTTTTAATAGAGATAGGATTTCATCATGTTGGTCAGGCTATTCTCGAACTCCTGACCTCAAGTGACCCACCCTCCCCAGCCTCCTAATGTGTTGGGATTACAGGCATGAGCCACTGCACCCGGCTGAAACAAGAATTTTTCAAGATGCCAAGTGTAAGGGAGGCTATTTCATGATTTTATAAAGTTTTCTACAAAGGAAGAAATGTTTAAAAAGGTGTTTCCAATACATATTTTATAGCTAGAAAAATTAAGTGACTCTGTGATATGCTAATCCCACCAATTTACATATCCTAAGCTCAGAAAATACTTCTTGCTGATTTGCTTCCAAAAAGTAACTTCTACCATGATAGAAAGCAGATACTGCCTCACTCACTAGTGAATTGGTGTTCATAAATTTCTGGAATTTTAATTTTATTCATATATATTTTAAACTCACCAGATTTTTGTCTTAATATTTAATCTATTAAAGAATATACTGAAAGTTTCTTAAGATAATTTAAACTAGTTTCAATTTTAGAAAGACGTTAGAAATGTAAATTCGTCTTATGTGTGGACAACATATTTTACATGCAGAGCCTCAATAGTAGCTGTCTTAGAAATTAGACCTAAAGATACTTCTTTTTCCCCTTTGCTTTATTTGGAAAATATTAAAAAATTGGCAAAAAATAAAAGAAAAAAATTGCATCTTATTTGAAAGTAGGGTAAGATATTATATTTTTTAAAAAGTCTCCCAACCACCCAGTCTGACCTCATGCTGTTAATATTTTCACACCTTTTCTACTGACTTTTAAAGGTGCCTATAAGTACTGTTGTTAAAAATATATAGTGATGTGTTTTCTACCTTTTATAATAGCAACTTTAAAGGTTCCTTTTCATGCTTATCTAACTTTCTTCTGCTTTGATCTTTATTTTCATTTTTTGATCACTTTCTTTTTTTACAAAAGCAAATGAGGCACATTGTTAAAAAAAAGTCTAATAATGTAGACATTATGTAGTAGAAAGTGAGTTTCCTTTATCACTATTCTGTAGGTAACTAGTAAATATCTTTGTGCATATTATTTTAGATAACTGTTAACTTTTTGTTAACATTATAACATTGCCCCTTCCTTTTTTAAACAAACAAACAAAAAATGGGATCGCACTTTCTATACTCAGTCACTTATATTTTTCACTCATTAATTCTTCATTGTACAGCCTCTCTTCCCTGTTACCATGTGTAGGTCTGTCCCAGGCTTTTTAGCAGCTACATAATATTTCACAGAATGAAACTGTAATCTAATAAGCTGGTTTTACGTTAGGGTCTTTCCAATATTTTGCCATTGCAAATAATGCTGCGACAAGCATTTTTGTAGCTTGTACACAGTGTATATTTCTGTAGGATGATACATAGATGTGGAATTGCATGCTTGGAGGGGATTGCACATGTAAAATGTTGCTGTGATTTTAAGATTAGTCTTTTCTTTAAGGCTTTAAACAGCACTTAACCATAAAGAATAATGTTCTGATTTGAGAGTACACTTGGTTTAAGAGGAGAGATGGTTTCTTTTCCTGAAGGCGTAGTGAAACTTTCAGGAAGCATTTTTTAGTTGTTTTGTTTTATCCTCTTTTTTTTTTTTGGTGAGAGGAAGTTTAACTTTTTAGTTTCAGGGGTACATGTGTAAACTTATTACGTAGGTAAGCTCATGTCAAGGGGGTTTGTTGTACAGATTATTCTGTCACCCCCCCAAGTACTAAGCCTAGTAGCAAATAGTTATTTCTTCTGATCCCCTTTGTCTTCCCACCCTCAACCCTCAAGTAGGCTCCAGTATCTGTTGTTCTGTCTTTGTATCCATGAATTGTCATCATTTAGCTGCCACTTATAACTGAGAACATGCAGTATTTGGTTTTCTGTTCCTGTGTTAGTTTGCTAAGGATAATGGCCTCCAGCTCCATCCATGTTCCCACAAGTGACATGATCTCATTCTTTTTTATGGCTGTATAGTATTCCACTGTGCATATGTACCATATTTTTTTTATCCAATCTATCATTGATGGGCATTTAGGTTGATTCCTTGTCTTTGCTATTGTGAATAGTGCTGCATGAGCATTTGCCTGCATGTGTCTTTATGATAGACACATATGGTAGAATATACCTCAAGGTATATTCTCAGTAATGGGATTGCTGGGACAAATGGTAATTCTGTTTCTTGCTCTTTGAGGAATTGCCACACTGCTTTCCACAATGGTTGAACTAATTTACACTCCCACCAACAGTGTATAAGCGTTCCCTTCTCTCAACAACCTCACCAGCATCTATTGTTTTTTAACTTTTTGATAATAGCCATTCTTACTAGTGGGAGGTGGTATCTCATTGTAGTTTTGATGTGCATTTCTCTACTGATCAGTGTTTTAACCTGAATTTTATGTGATATGTGGAATCTTTTTTTTTTTTTTCCCATTTATTTATTTTATTGCATTTTAGGTTTTGGGGTACATGTGAAGAACATGCAAAATTGTTGCATAGGAACACACATGGCAGTGTGATTTGCTGCCTTCCTCCCCATCACCTACATCTGGCATTTCTCCCCTTGCTATCTCTCCCCAGCTTCCCACCCCCCACCCTCCCTCCCCTATTTCCCCCCAACTGACCCCAGTGTGTAGTGCTCCCCTCCCTGTGTCCATGTGTTCTCATTGTTCAACACCCGCCTATGAGTGAGAACATGCGGTGTTTGATCTTCTGCTCTCCTGTCAGTTTGTTGAGAATGATGGTTTCCAGGTTCATCCATGTCCCTACAAAGGACCCTAACTCATCGTTTTTGATGGCTGCATAATATTCCATGGTGAACAGACACTTTACAAAAGAAGACATACGTGAGGCCAACAAACATATGAAAAAATGCTCATCATCACTGGTCATCAGAGAAATGCAAATCAAAACTACATTGAGATACCATCTCACGCCAGTTAGAATGGCGATCATTAAAAAATCTGGAGACAACAGATGCTGGAGAGGATGTGGAGAAATAGGAACACTTTTACACTGTTGGTGGGAGTGTAAATTAGTTCAACCATTGTGGAAGACAGTGTGGAGATTCCTCAAGGACATAGAAATAGAAATTCCATTTGACCCAGCAATCCCATTGCTGGGTATATATCCAAAGGATTACAAATCGTTCTACTATAAGGACACGTGCACACGAATGTTCATTGTAGCACTGTTTACAATAGATATGTGGAATCTTTGTAAGAAAGTATTACTCAATCCTGTTGCTTTTAGAAACATCTGTATTCTTACTGGTGGCATCTCCTCAATAATGCTATTATTTCATTCGATTTTGTTATTTCTTTTTATGATAAACCACCGTGTTGTTAGTTTAATTCTATTCTGCACAGTGTGTTATAGGATAAAAATAAAGTGATTCTGTGGGATAGATTATCTTGAAGGAAATGTATGAAGGTGATCCCATCAATAAAAGTAAAATCCTCAGAATGTTATTTTGCTTACATATTTTATCTTCGCATAACATTGAAGACAGTGTGATTGTGCCTTACTGAATGAAAGAAAACTTATACATGAACTTCAAACACATTTGCTTTTCTAAGGAAAATCTAATTGAGGCTATAAGCCTTGCTTTTAGATTCTAAGAGTAGTTTTCTAAAGTTGTATTTTGAGGGCCTTTCATAGTACCACCTGAAAGTAGGTACGTAGTACTTTTTTAGGTAATATCTCTGTTTAACCCAAGTTCTTTCATCTACATTTTTGAGTCCAGTTATTCTCTCTGTTTTTGTAAACAGGCATATCAAATTGCTATTTAAGAAATTGAAGATTTCAAATTTATATTTAAAAGACAAATGGGCTCATAATCTTTATTGCTATGGAATTCGTTCTCAGCATCTGAGGACTTGAGCAGTCAACTATATAGAGAGTATTGGAGGATGAGATTTGTGTTTAATACAGAACTTTATTTTGGGTTTTTGAAAGTGACTTTTTAAATTCTAAGATAATCATAATCTTTCTAGTCTGATTTATAAATGCTGATTTGCTTCTTAAGCTTTTTCTTTGTAAGACATCATACTTGTGAGATGAGAGTAGTTGTAAAGATAATTTTTTCTTGTCTTTTTTTATTTTTCTTGCAGAAAACAAGCATCGTTGTGGGTCCAAGGAGACATTTTCCGATCCAAACTGAAAAATCGACAATCCAGTGAAGGAAGTATTAATAAAATTCTTTCTAGCCTAGATGATATGTCTATTGGTGGAAACCTATCGAAAATACAGAACATGGAAAGATTTGGAGAGGTGAGTTTTCCTTAGGAAGATTTTGTCTCCTCAAAACTGATGCTCTGCCCTTGTTTCTCATTTGGACATGGGCACCACGGCAGCGTCTTTTCTCTGCATGCCAAGAATACCGAATTTGTAGATGTAGAGTCATCTGTCTATATAGCAAGAAGGAGAGAAGAGAAACCAATTGCCCTTAAAAAGAAAAAAAGCTATAATTTAAGGAGTAAATTATAAAGGAGGCTACTCTGGTTAGGGAGAATATTTACAGAAGGGAAACAGAAAAGCAAGCTTTCTATTTGAAAATTAAAACAGGTATCGAGAAAAAAAATTGTAATGTGACAGTTGAGGAAATAATATATACCACAAGTGGTACTTTGAAAAACTCAAATTCATGTTGATTTCTAAAGTAAGTGCAGACTTGAAAACATGATTAGGGCAACTTTAAAAAAAAAAATTAAAACTCTAGTGTAAACAAAACACCTTAAATAGTTGATATATATTTCCTGATTTAATATTCGTAACTACCTGGTGAATTAGGCAATACTATCTCTATTTTATAGGAAGGAAACTACATGTCAGAGATGTTCTGGCCTCAGTGTCAAATATTCAATCCATGTCTGTCTGATTTCAAACTTGTGTTCTTTTCTATCACACCCTGTTACCTCTGAATAAAAATAGAACTGATTTACTAAGAATCAGGATTACAAGCATTTTTGGAACTAGAAACAACATTGAAACCATTTGTTTGGTTCCATTATTGTACAGATAAGAAACTGGGGTCCTGGGGTCCCAGAAAATCTGTGATTTGTGCAAAGTTCCAGAGTTGTTTGGTGGTGGGGTCACTTTGAGACCTGGGCATTCAATTCCTGGTTTAGGTCTTTCTACCACATTATGCCTGAGGTAAAGCTGAGCATCTGGTTTATATTTTTATATCTCTAAAGGAGCAAAAAAGAAAAAGAAAAAGAAAAAAGTGGCGCAAGCCAGGCAGGGTGTGATGGATGCCTGTGTGGTCCCAGCTACTTGGGAGACTCAGGCAGGAGGATGCTTGAGCCCGAGTTTGAAGCTGCAGTGAGCTATGATGGCGCCACTACACTCTATCCTGAGCAACAGAGCAAGACCCTGTCTATAAAAAAAGAAAGAAAGAAAGAAAAAGAAAAAATAAAAAATATAGAAGCAACAAGTATAGATTTACATTCCATTAGACAGTGACCCATTAGACCTGGACACAGGCCTTAAACCAAATACTGTGGCTCAGGCTTTAGCCTGAAGGAACCCAGAATGGAAGGAACACATCATAGCTCGCTTAGGTTAATGGTTGGCATCCCAAACAGATTTCTTTTTAGCAAGAAAGCCACAGTGCTTGGAGATTGGGAATCTGAGTTTTCTTTCAAGGACACAACGATGGAGACCATTGGAAGAACTGATTTTTAAGCCCAGTGCTGTGTTCTCCAGGATGGCTGCTGATGAGGTGACTCAGTTTACCCATTGGAGTCATCCGTCCTGATGAAATGTACATCTTATGCAAGGTCATGTTGATGTTAGACCCTTTGTTGACTTTTTCTTGTTTCTGTGTTGCACCCTCACCTATTAAAAGCAAATAAAAAGAAAGGCTCTGAACTAAGATCTTAACGTGATAACATAGCTAAGCAAGAATACCTTTTTCCTTCCCAGGTTGAGTTCAGGTAAACAGGGCTTTAAGTCATGAACTCTGAAAAGACAAACATAAAGTTAATCCTGTTATCCCAGAAACATACTTACCTTGCAGGAACATAGTACTTTCTACATCATAATCTTGATTAAATTAGCACCTGGTAATTAGAACATTTTATTCTCATACTCTTTTAAACCCCAATTGGTTGAACTTAAGAATACTTAACATTTATGTATCACTATGAAGGTAAGAAATGCAAGATGATTGGAATTTAAAGTAAGTCAATTTTAAATATAAGTTTGTATATCTATAAGTCTAATCCCCTGTCTTAGTCCATTTGGGCTGCTGTAAGAAAACACCATAGGCTAGGTGGCTTATAAACAACAGAAATTTATTTCTCACAGTTCTGCAGGTTGGGAAATTCAAGATCAAGGCATCAACAGATTTTGTGTCTGGTGAGAGCCTGCCTACTGGTTCATAGACAGCACGTTCTGCATCGTCACATGGCAAAAAGGGCAAACAAAATCTTAATGCCATCACATTGGGGGTTGGGATTTTAATATGTGAATTTTGGGGGTTATAAACATTCAGATCATAGCACCCCCCATCATTATTTTAGTTTTAGCCATTAAAATGCTGTTGTTTCTGAAATTCAAGGGCAGAAATGAAAGAATTCAGAAATGCCAGAGAATGATGGTATGGTGAATATTTTACACAGCCTCATGTAATGCTTTGTGCAGGTAACTCTTAGAAGCACTTTTTTTGCCATGCTTATGTGGTGCCAGCTTTGGAATTTCACATGAATATGGAAAATTAGCTTACTCAAAATTGAACTTAACAGAGTTAGTGAAGTCTTTATTGTTCTTATAAATTGCACATGGACAAATAGATTGAGAATGCTGTAAGAATTTAATGTTTCAAGTTGCATGCATGGGATTTCTGGATTTACTTAGTTTGTGTATATAGAAAGTGCAAAAAGACAGTATTCCTCTAGAGATTTCCTTTAAAAAAAAGATTAAAAGCAGAGAGTCTAAATTATTTCTTTTCTAGGCTTACAGGAATTTTCTTGTGATTCGTTACTAGGAAGCTCTGTGTTACCAGATTTGGAGAATTGGAATATAGTTTTTTAGGCTGGGTGTGGTGGCTTTTGACTGTAATCCCGGCACTTTGGTAGGCTGAGGTGGATGGATCACTTGAGGCCAGGTGTTTGAGATCAGCCTGGCCAACATAATGAAACCCCATCTCTACTAAAAATACACACACACACACACACACACACACACACACACACACACACACACAAAAGAAAAAAAAATAGCCAGATGTGATGGCACATGCCTGTAGTCCCGGCTGCTTAGGAGGCTGAGGCACGAGAATGACTTGAACCCAGGCTATGGAAGTTGCAGTGAGCTGAGATCATGCCAGTGCACTCTAGCTAGGGCAACAGAGCAAGACTCTGTCTCAAATAAATAAATAAATATTTTTTTTTAGTGCGTAGGATGTAGGTGAAAGGAAAACAATCAGAATGATGCAGGTCATAGTGATGGACTAGGTTGTGTTTAATGAATGTTCTTTGCCAACTTAGAGTTATGAGAAATAGAACAGATGCTTTCCCTTTATTGACCCTGGACTTCAGTTCTGGGCTGGGCACTATGAAATATACACAGCGCATCCTGTGGGTCTAGCTTAGGCTCCTTGCTCCCTGCTCCTGCCTTGCACTGTTCTTTTCCTCCACAGTCCTTATCTCTTCTTCCTATCTCTAGGAAGGCAGAGACTTTCATTTGTCTTCATCATGTTTCTATTTTTGGCCAAAGGCCTTAATAAATATTATGTGAATGAATGAAGAAAGTTTATAGTTTCAGAGAAAAAAAAGGACAGAGACATGAAATTGGTAATAATCTAAGCTACACAAATACATTATGTGCTCAAATACAAAATAGTATTAGCAGTAAGTTCTTACTTTAACATTCAGGGGCCTATGGGTCCATTATGGATTGGAGTTATTTTGAAAGATGGAAGTTAAAGTACTTTATTTAAAGTGCAAATATTAAATCAGGATCTTAGCATGCAACAACTACCTAAACAGAAGGTACTATGTGCCAGGAACTGTTTTAGGCACTTGACATTAATTAACCCTTTTAATCCTTACAGCAGCCATATGAAATAGGCCATGTTACTAGGCCCATTTACAGGAGACATACCTGAGGTAGAGGTCAAACCATCTGCCCGAGATCCTGAGTACATGGTGAAGTGGTCATTGAATTTCTGTGTTCTGGCTCCAGACTCTGTGTACTCAACCACCCTCCTGGGAGGCCTCTCACTATACTCTGCTAACTCTATGGGAGCTCTCCAGTGTGGCTTTAGTACATTATATACAGTAATCTTTAGTACATTAACCGGTCCCTCCAATAAACTTCTCCTGAAATCACAACAGTTTTTAGATTTTGTACTTTAGGGCTATAGTCCAGTATTAGCACGCCAATCAGTAGGTGTTCTTGACTTAGTGATATTAATTAGATACAGGTGCTGCTAATGTGCCGCCAAGTTCATGTAAATTGACAATCAAGTAGACAAGAACGTAGTGTTTTAATTACATTTTTGAGATACTGTGATTTGTAAAAACCATCAAGTACTCACAAGCAGGGTGCATCTTAGAAAAATTTATGAAGTAAAAATTAATTCTCTAATGCCCCGGTTTTAAGCACCTTTCTTTCCCCTGTTCTGACAGTGAAGACCAGTTCTTTTTTTTTTTTTTTGATTTTGAGGTAGAGTCTCTCTCTGTTGCCAGGCGCCAGGCTGGAGTGCAGTGGCACCATCTCGGCTCACTGCAACCTCTGCCTCCTGGGTTCCAGCAGTTCTTCTGCCTCAGCCTCCTGAGTAGCTGGCACTACAGGTGCACGCCACCATGCCCAGCTAACTTTTGTATTTTTAGTAGAGACAGGGTTTCACCATGTTGGCAAGGATGGTCTTGATCTCTTCACCTCGTGATCCACCCGCCTCGGCCTCCCAAAGTGCTGGGATTATAGGCGTGAGCCATGGCGCCCGGCCTGGTGAAGACCAGTTCTAATCTGAATTCTACTATGATCCACCAGAAGTTATTAAGCAGGGGAGTGACAGCACACAGAATCATGGTGCTGGGACGTCTCTCTGGCTATGGTGTCATATGGGGCTGGGGTTGAAGGCCAGGGAGCTGATAATGGGTGCTGGGACGTCTCTCTGGCTATGGTGTCATATGGGGCTGGGGTTGAAGGCCAGGGAGCTGATAATGGGGAGGTCCAGGTTTTAAAGGTCCCAAAGAGTGGCAGTGAATGGGGCAGCCAGAAGAGAGATGTGGGTAGCTCTGGTAAACCCAAACTTTCTATTGATCAGAAGCAGCTTATTATAAAGATGACATCTTTGCCGTTTCCCAACACTTAAATCTCATAGGTTCAACATCTGAGAGCTGAAAAGAATTTAGAGATGACCCAGCCACCTTTCCTAGCCAATTTATTAAAATCTGCTAAAAATTCCATTCTCAACTTTATCTTCCAGTTCTTGGACTTCTATTTTTACTCATTTCTATTTAAACTATCTACTTATGTCATTTTTCTATTACAATTCTTCCATCTTTATTCCCTAGTGTGCTATATTCTATCTCGTAAATCTTTTCTTACCGGCACTTTCCACAGCCTCCTCTATAGCTTACTCTGCCTTGATTTTGTTTATGTTTTGGTCAGCAATTACTTTATCCAGCTGAAATCTATGGACACGATTGTGTATAGAGAGAACAACTGGTGGAATAAAATAAATATTCTTCATGTTGATATTTGTTCTTTCACTAGGTCATCACTCATGTTCTTTTTAAAATGGTACAGCTTTCGGTACAGTATTTTGGTTTGCTGTCATTTAGGGCAGTCCAGTATCCAAAAGGAGTGTTGCTGCTTAGATCCTCCAAAGGGCAATGGGGCACTCAGAGCAGATCCATTTGCTGTGGGGGACACACATAGGAGGGTCTTCCCTGGACTAGGTAGGGTTCTTCATTGTTGCTGGCATCAGCCATGAAGTTTTGTTTCTTTTCAGCAGATTCCAAGCAATCTGCTTCTCCTGGACCAGCTTAGGGCAAGAGAGAGTCTGCCCTGGCATTTTGTAGGGAGGGACTGGAGCCTGAGGGCAGGCCCAGGTTGGGTTCTCTTCATTTGTCATTTATGAATGTGTTCTTTAGTCATCATGAAGAATGAATTTGGTATAAGGAAGGAGACCTAACAGCACCTGAGGAGAAAAGTCTTCAAACTCTTCCCAGGCCACCAACTCATGAGACTGATTTGTGTCACACAATACATAGTACTGCATTGATAATAAACATTTTCCCCCCACAGGTACTTATGACCTGGTATATCTTATAGGATCAATTCCCTAATAAATGTAAAGCTTGTTGTATTTATGTCTGTTTGTCTTATTCAGTATTCCAGGAGGCCAAAGGCCTTTTCCAGATGGTTTTTAGTTTCCTAATTCTGTGATTTAGTGTAAACATGTTTTGAATAACATTAACTATTTTTGTCAAGAGTTTGAAGGCTATTTATTAATCACTGAGAATTTTACAGTTTATATGTTCTATCTCTCATAGTCCTAAAAATGATCTATACTTTGTACGGTGGCCACAGAGACAAAAGACAGTTGGTTTAGACAAAAAATTTTATGGTTTACATTTTGGTAGATTTTTTTCCAGACCTGTACTACATTTCTGGCTCTTTCCCCTTCTTCCCTTTCCCCGAGTCTGGATTCCCACGCAGTTTCCCATACCCTAATCCAGTCCATCATCTCTCATCAGACCACTGCATAGCCACTTAAATGTGTCCCTCCCCAAAGACTTGAACTCCAGTTCATTCTCACAGTGATAATGTGAGGAAATATACGCAACATCTACAAATGAGGGGGTTTTGTGGGTATAAAGAACTCTTACAAATCACCAAAACACCATGTTCACAAGTAAAACAATATGGGAACAGTCCTGACTGGTAAACTTAGAAAATGTTCTACTTCCCTAGAAATGAACTAAACACAAATTCAAATGATGAGATGCTATTTATGCCTATCAAATGCATTAAAAATATATTCAGCATTGACAAATGTTTAGGGAATAAAAAGCTCTTAAACATTGCCAGTTGGATTTACAATGGTGCAGCCTTTTTGGAGGGCAATTTGGTAATATGTAGATGACTTTAAAAGGAATTCCACTTCTATGAATTTGTCTTAAGGTAATAATAAGACAGTGTTCATGAACCATGTATGTGTAAGAGTATGTTTGTTGAGGCTGTTTATAGTGATGAAATACAGAGAACAGCCTAACCTAGGGTATTGGTTAAATAATAAAATTAGGCATATCTAGACAATGGAATTTTATGGAGCCATAAAATGACAGAGATTGTAAAAAACTTGTTCTGAAAAACTTCCACAATGTTTTTTAAGTTAAAAAAGTTACAAAGCAGCGTATGTATGTAATACAACCTCTTTTTGTAAGGAAGAAGTAGGCTGGGGGTTTTATATAGCACAGGGAAAATTCTGGAAGACTATGTGCCAGAATGTGAATGTGTTTTGCTTTTGATGGTAAATATATAGGTGGTTTTAATATTTTTTCATGTTTGCCTATACTTTATTACTAATGACAAAGATATAAACATATCTACATATATATGGTAAATGCATATATATATAAATACATAAAAATATATCATAAATATATCTGTATTTCTCTAGATACACGTACTTTTTTTTTTTTTTTGAGATAGTCTCCATTGCCCAGGCTGGAGTGCAGTGGTGTGATCTCGGCTTATTGCAACCTCTGCCTCCCGGGTTCAAATGATTCTCAGTGCCTCAGTCTCCCAAGTTGCTGGGACTACAGGCATACGCCACCACTCTGGCTAATTTTTGTATTTTTAGTAGATGGGGTTTCACCATGTTGGCCAGGCTGGTCTTGAACTCCTGGCCTCATGTGATCCACCTGCCTTGGCCTTCCAAAGTGCTGGGATTACAGGCATGAGCCACCGTGCCTAGCCATATACTTTAAAAAATAATAATAATAAGAAAAAACACCTTCACCCGTGTGGTCATTGCCATCGCAGCCACCCGAGAGGAGCTGGGGGAGGACCGTGGCCCAAAAGGCTAGGGGCAGACACCACAGCGGCAGTGGGAGCAGCAGAGGCGGAAGCTCCAGCACTCTCTCTCTTCCCACTCAGCCTGAGCCAGGGGAGGCCAGGCAGCCTGGATGTCTGGACGGGGATCTGCAGCTGGAGAATGAGAATTCTCTTCACCAGAATTTGGAAACTGTTCAGTCACCAGGAGCACAGAGTTAGCATTGCTGGGTGGGATAATGCAGGGAAAACTACCATCCTTTGCCAGTTTTCCGTGAATGAAGTTGTACCTATATTTCCTACAACAGGAAGTAATTAATGTAGAAGAGATAGTGATTAATAATACACATTTCCTAATGTGGGATACTGGTAGCAAGCATCTCTTCCTTCTTCCTGGAACACTTATTATACTAACACAGAGTTTGTAATAGTCGTTGTGAACAGTAGAGACAGAGAGAGGATTTCTGTAACTAGGGAAGAACTTATAAAATGTTAGCACATGAGGACCTAAGAAAAGCTGGATTGTTGATTTTTGCTAATAACCAAGGTGTTAAAGAATGCATGACAGTAGCAGAAATGTCCCAGTTTTTGAAGCTAACTTCTATTAAAGATCATCAGTGGCATATCCAGGCATTCTGTGCTCTAACTGGAGAGGGATTGTGCCAAGCACTTGAATGGATGATGTCATAACTTAAGACTAGATTATCTCTACTGACCTCTCATAGACTCTGTATAAATGAAGTGCTGGACTTGACCTGTCAGCTGCAAAAATGAATGGTTTCAATGTATTTATAATAAACTGATTTAAACTTTTTCTGTAAGAAGAAAAATTAAGACCACTTATTTGAAAACAAAGATGAAGTCTCACCTTCCAATTTGCTTTCTCATTAGTTTTTTCCAAAGTAAGTTATTAAAGCTGTGATTGACATTTTTCTCATAATGAATCCTCTCAGGACATTGTGTAGCCTGTGGTAAGTACAAAGGGAGAGGAAGATATTTTGAATTTTAAGAGCTTTGTTATCAGTGTAACCCTCCCTAGTTGAATGTTGTTTTCTTCTTGTTCCATTAAGTCAAAATACAAATCAGCACAGATATTTAGTTTCCAGTATTTTCAAATGTACTGTTACTTCTGAAAAGTATTTTGCTTAACGTTGTGTGTGTATTGTGTATATATCTCAAGTTCAAGTTAATGGCTTTCATGTATGTTCTAAAGAAAGAAAAGTAACACAAATATTAATAATATCCTTAGTTATAACCATAATAAGTATTGGCATTGGTGTTAAGTGCCATTTTATACTTTCTCCCTATGTTCTCTCTATTGTACTAACCAACCTCCCAAATCATTGAGCTGCTTGTTAAAAAAGAAAAAAAGGGAAAAGGAAAAAGCATGGCATTGTGTATCAATTTTTTGTTGTTGACCAGTCACACACATGGAAACATGTAATTCAACAGAGTGGGATAGCGCTCAGATTCTTGGCTTGGTATTATTAACAGGCGGGATTGTACAATGAGCAACTATCAGATTATTCCTCTCAATGGTTCCTATGGCATCTAAATTACTGAATAAATTATTAATCCATTAATCAGCGAATCATATTATGTTTAAAATTATCAAAGGAATTCTCAGCATTAATTGAAAAGTATGTGTGAAACATGTCTACCCAGAAAAGTAACATTCTATAAGTACAATTAAACAACTTACCTATGTTATTTTTAAATATTAAATTATATGTCAAGCAGTTAAAGTGAATTTTAGAATAAAAGTAAGGTATGTTTCTGAGCAACTTTGATAATTTCTTAATTTGCAAATTTCTTCTTATTTTGGTACTTAAAATATAGTATGATATTTTTTATTTCTAAATTTTGTTGTATCTTCTGTTACATAAATGCACTGTTTGACAAAAATGCAAGTGTTTTCTGAATGATTAAAAAAAGAAAAAAGAAAAAAAATGGATTATTCTCCAGAGGTTGAGAACTAGGACTTCAGGTGTTGTTTTCTTTTTCTTGGCGAGTGAGGATGTTTAAGTAAACTTGAGAGGAGGAAGTAAAAATCTAGGTAGTTAGGTGCATGGCTGTGTACTGTAGTATTTTTGTTGTTTTCTGATAAATGAATCATAATTTACAGAAATATATGACCTTTAAGATTCACAATAGAATGAAAGAAAAATACATGTAATTATAATTTAATATATACTGTTATTTAATTTTCTGTTTAACTGTACATCTTTAAAATGCTTTCTTTTCAAGCAATATATGATCACAGCTTTAAAAATATCAAGTGTTGAATTCTAGCAACAAAAAAAAATCAGCCTCCTGTTTCACCTTTCTGTGTCCTTGGTCCCACTTTCAAAGGCAGAAATCTCTGGGAAAATTATACTGATATTTTTAGTGCCATATTTCTATTATAAATACCTTGCTTACATTGCTGTTTTTTAATTGATCGACTTGGGACATTTTTCTATTGCTTCCTGGTACTTGTAGACAGGATGCAGCTCTTCTATCTCACTGTCACCACCACTTCCCTTAGCTTCCCAATATAACTATACTGGTTAAATCAAATAATGTGCACATCAGTACTATGTAAATATTGTTCATGGTTGAGGTTAGTAGTACACTGTGACTGTTTCCTTTTTTGATACTCTCTTTGTTTGTCCTAGACGTAATTGCCTTTTTTATTTGCATAGTTTTTATGCATTTAGGAAACAATAATGCTTTAAAAAGTTATGCCAAACAATTTTAAATTTTTTCAAAATCTCAACACAGCAAAATTCCATTCTAATTCCACTTTTTTTCCTGAAGACAATTCTCTCTTCTAACATGGCCTGGTTGCTCTTAGCCCTGTGCTCTGTGCCGTGTGTGTGTGTGTGTGTGTGTGTGTGTGTGTGTGTGTGTGTGTGTG